ATTCTGCCCTTTCACATTTCACTCAACTAATGTCTTCAAGTATACTAGTGAGATATTTTCTAAATTAAAGCAATCATAAGGTAGGCACATACATTAATTCTTTGCAGGTTTTGGGTAACAATAATCTGCACAAAACGATACAAATATGCATCTAGTTGATATGTCTTTATAACATCAAGTGCACATTAAAACTGGCAAGAAGGGTTCACACTAGCTTCCCTGAAATAAGACAATAAAGGAAAAAGTAAACACATATTGACTTTAGAAAAAGATCCTTATTCTGAGTTTCTCTCCCACATACTCAAGCTTCTATTGGCTAGCGCTCCAACACATTGTACGTGATAGAGATGTCCCGCCCCTTAGCCTAAGTGGTTGACCAATCACAACAGAGCTGGCCAGCTAACCAATCAGAGCAGACTGGGCTCTGGTTTCAGACAGAGGGTGAAAAGAGGTGCTGCAGCACAGGCAGTATGAGAGAAATAAAGAGCTTTTTGAACATTAAAGCATGGAGACATGTCACAGTAGAGACACTACATACTGATATACACCTGAACATCAGCAGGAGAGGACTCTTTAAAGTAGAGACACAACATACTGATATTCACCTGAACATCAGCAGGAGAGGACTCTTTAAAGTAGAGACACTACATACTGATATACACCTGAACATCAGCAGGAGAGAACTCTTTAAAGTAGAGACACTACATACTGATATACACCTGAACATCAGCAGGAGAGGACTCTTTAAAGTAGAGACACTACATACTGATATACACCTGAACATCAGCAGGAGAGGACTCTTTAAAGAAGAGACACTACATACTGATATACACCTGAACATCAGCAGGAGAGGACTCTTTAAAGAAGAGACACTACATACTGATATACACCTGAACATCAGCAGGAGAGGACTCTTTAAAGTAGAGACACTACATACTGATATACATCTGAACATCAGCAGGAGAGGACTCTTTAAAGTAGAGACACTACATACTGATATACACCTGAACATCAGCAGGAGAGGACTCTTTCAAGTAGAGACACTACATACTGATATACACCTGAACATCAGCAGGAGAGGACTCTTTAAAGTAGAGACACTACATACTGATATATACCTGAACATCAGCAGGAGAGGACTCTTTAAAGTAGAGACACTACATACTGATATACACCTGAACATCAGCAGGAGAGGACTCTTTAAAGTAGAGACACTACATACTGATATACACCTGAACATCAGCAGGAGAGGACTCTTTAAAGTAGAGACACTACATACTGATATACACCTGAACATCAGCAGGAGAGGACTCTTTCAAGTAGAGACACTACATACTGATATATACCTGAACATCAGCAGGAGAGGACTCTTTAAAGTAGAGACACTACATACTGATATACACCTGAACATCAGCAGGAGAGGACTCTTTAAAGTAGAGACACTACATACTGATATACACCTGAACATCAGCAGGAGAGGACTCTTTAAAGTAGAGACACTACATACTGATATACACCTGAACATCAGCAGGAGAGGACTCTTTAAAGTAGAGACACTACATACTGATATACACCTGAACATCAGCAGGAGAGGACTCTTTAAAGTAGAGACACTACATACTGATATACACCTGAACATCAGGATAATTATTCCTGTTTGAGTAAAAGTACAAAAGTAATGACATCTTTATACAGTATGCTCTTAAGTAGCACCATAATCATATTAAATTACTGTATTAACATTATTGATGCATTCATGTGCATCACTGCTGGTAAATCTGTGTCTTCTTAATTACTTTGTATACTGCTGCTGGATATCTTAACCTATAGTTATATGTTTAAATGTTAGTTGATGAATAAATAAAGTAAGTACAAAGGGAATTATGGCTTCTAAATGTAAACATATACAAATTGACTGTTTTAAAAAAAATGTACTACTGTTTTTTCTGTAAAGCAACCTTGGGTCCCCTGAAAGGCGCTATATAAATCTAAATTATTATTATTATTATATACCCAATTACCTTCCACCACTGCGTAAGACACACGTGTAGAAGGGACATTGTTTGGGAGTTATTGAAACATTTTCAAGGACGTTTTCCCTCACTGCAGGTGGGAGCCAAACAATTACAGTGAGCTGCAAATATGAGGAAATAACAAATTAATATTGAGCTGCTAGGGAAAATACGATGCTGCGGACATCCTGCCAGCAGCTCTCTAACACAGGGGGAAATGAACTGGCATGGAGAGTGTGTTTCTTGGGCAGTGTGTGATAGCTCTCCCTGCGGTGGGGGGTTAGCATCGGGCTGGCTCCAGCTTCTGGTTTGGCTTCTGGTTTGGCAGGAGGTCCTCGATTGCAGAAGGTTGCTTTGGACACCGTGTGACCCAGGAGTGTAAAAACAGCTTCTCCATGAATTCAAAGAAGCTGCCTTCTCCAAGTTCTGTTCATTTACTTTGTAACTCTAAATATATTTTTATTGTATTTTTTGTTTTATATTTTATAAATCTTCTTATGTTTGTATAAATACCTTTATTTTTCGATGTCTGTAGAAATCCAGTGGGAAACTGCACCTAGTCAGAGCCATGCTAATGCTAAGCAAGCCTAGTTAGCCATAAAGGAAGGGAGTGAGTGAGTGAGTGAGTGAGTAAGTGGGTGTTTCTCAATGTCGAGGACCCTTCCTTGGTAGGACATGTCTTCCGAGTCAGGTTCTTTAGAAGCGAGGCAAGAATCCTTCCTAGCCTCGGAAAACGAAGAGTGGTGGAACAGGCTAACAGGTGTGTGTCATATGCGAGGCCCCGTCTTAAATGGAGCGCGATTTCCGTGTGTGTGTGTGTGTGTGTGTGTGTGTGCGTGCGTGCGTGCGTGCGTGCGTGCGTGCATGCGTGCGTGTGTGTGTGTGCAGCAGGAGATTGCAATTTAGCCACCTGCTGTGACATTTTCAGAATTGAGAAATAAAGTTAATTGCTGCAAAAAGCATGTTTTTTAATTAGTGCCTGCATTAAATAAATGTAACACTGGTATCCATTAGCATTTAGAAAAAGTATTTTTACTTGTAAAATATGCAAAAGCATAAATAGGCCTTTCATGAAACAAAATGTATAATATTAACTGCGAATGATGTACAGTTTAATATATCAAATACAAAAAGTGGGTATTATGCAGAGCTTTGACATATTCTGGTGAAATGTCAGTAAACGTCTCTCACATAACACAAACTTGGCGGTTATTATAAATCACGTGAGGTCCCCTTGTATTATTCGTAGAGGAAAAGGGTTTTAATTATATTTATTAATACAAAATAAAACCAAGAGTTATGCAGATATCTGATGATCTCTACGCAGATACTCAGCCTCAGTAAGAGGTGCACCAAAGATGCCTCAGCATGTGTGCAGTTATATCATAAGACCCCATGCAAAGCTTTACTGGGCTAATGGACATTAATAAGCCCCTTTCGTTCAAACGTTCAGAATACTTCCCTCTTTGATTGTTCATTCGATGTGGAAGTTATGTCATTTCTTCAGACGTTATTCCCTAAAGCAAAGGAAATTAATCACCATCTGTCTCCTGGCAGAGTCATGACACCCAGGATTATACTCTGCATTGTAATTAGAAACAATAAGAGAACGACAGCTGATACTGTATATGAATAGTTCTCCAACAATGGGGCTTAAAATTAGCTTGTCACACAGAGGGGTGTAGATTTATTGTAGTTTAGTAGCACTAAATATGCACTCAAAACCCAGTATTACATGAAGTTGCTTATGGACAGGGATCACACATTTTTGTAGGCCAACCCGAAAGTTAGCATCACAAGTAGGGCTGTACCGTACTGCACTGCGGCTACAAAATTGAATTTATTGAAAACTCCAATATCAACGTAAGAGCTTGTGCCTCTTCGGGGGGGTGCTAACACTTAACCATAGACGTTATCGTTTACTTTCTCCGTCTTTATATGTAGATATTACTTTTCTCCGTTAATCTCCGTCGCGTTGTTTCCATAGCAACAACAACTTCCTGTCAACAGCGCTAACTCTCCTTCAAAATAAACGCATGTCTATACAAAATAGGAAGCCAAGCCAAATTACACTTAAGACATATACAACTGCAACGAAAGTAACAAACACAATGCAATATCCTTTTCAATTTCAAAGAACACAAATTGGGTTATATACATTAACAAATAACTATAAAACAACAATACTGTAGAATAACAAAATTAATGCAGTGAATAAACCGAAATACACGTGTTGAAGCGGTTCGCTGCTGATTATTACGCCCCCCCCCCGCGCGGGCCGAATATCCGGCTGAGTTTTCCATTGGAATACACTTTATTGTAGAAAATAATCTCTGAGGCAAACGCATGTTTATGATTCTTAACACGATTTGTTCAGCAGGATAATCTCCACATATTAATACCACTTCAGGATTTTGGAAGCGTAAATGAAATCACCAGAAGTGAAAACTAACGTAAGGCTATAAAAGAACGACATCGCAGTCACATGGCTGCGCAGGGCCACTGCTAAAGCTAAAGGCGGCTAATGTGGGAGGTGATGACGTTTAGTCGTCTCATTTAGACACTTGTTGGCAAATTCCCCAGTGGGGTATTTACTGATGTATTTTATGTCTTAGTACACAATGTTAAAATCAGGTGTTTTGCAAATCTGAGGTGAATAAAGTTAGAAGGGAGTTTAGGAGGGAGTTTCTCTCCCAAACTGAAACGCCTCCATTGGACTCCTTTGTTGACTTCCAGAACAAATTGACATCACGATGTAACACTTGCCCATCTACTGGCTAGCGCTCCAACACATTGTATGTGATAGGCTAAGGGGCGGGACATCTCTAAGCATTTGACCAATCACAACAGAGCCGTCCAGCTAACCAATCAGAGCAGACTGGGCTCTGGTTTCAGACAAAATAACTTTCCGGCACCATGACGACAGATGCAGAGCTGTGTGAGTGTAAACAAAACAGTTCAAACAAAGGGATTTATTTGTTGACTTACCATATTGATTGAAGACACAGGTCCAATGCTGTTCACAAATATGCCCACATCTATAACAATTGGTTTAACTGTGGAGAAAAAGAAAGAGAGAAATAGTTATTGATCAAAACCCTCATTGAGGCCCCATACTGTACCTGCCTCTGTTAGATCAATGACTCTTTGTTGTCCAGAGTAAAAAGCTGCTGCTGTGGAGCCGTGCTTGGTAATAATGATCGCTCATTAGTCTTCATTACTATAAGTGCTGTCACAAAACACCTCGATGTGTGTTCTCCTGAATGCAGAAATAATGCATTTATATGATTTGTGTAGAATATCAGAGGAAGTTCGCAGTAGTCCGCTGATGTTCAATCCCTCTTATCCCTGCTGGTTTTCACTCCTGCCGACTAATTAAGAAGTGAATTACAACTGGGAAGGCAGATGAATGCAATTAACTGATAAACCAGCGCTGCTTCTACCCCTGATGTGAGCAAGATGAAGCGCTGTGGAGCTCTATCCCCAAACTCCAATGTTTCCTATCTAACCTGGAGACAGAAGATAATCCCACACATACAAAAAAAGGCCAAAACCTCATCAACAGCTGAGCAGGAAACACAGGTCTGACACAAAGAGGAAGAACCAGTGTGTTATTAGCAGTGGGGGTGCATTACTTTATAAGGATTCAATCACAGCTCAATATAAACCCTTTCTTTTCACCAAAGACTTCCTCCTCGTCATTTGATCGATACATTTTATTTCGAACAAGTAAAATAATAAATAAATACAAAACAAAACAAATGTTGCAGTGCATAGTCATGTAAGAGAAATCAAAACAAAAAATGACATTTACAACAACAACAGCATTACAGTAGCAACATAAACAGTCCCACATCTAGTGTTCGACAAGGAGAGGGAAGAAGTATAATTTACTTAATCTCAAATAAATGATTTATAATCTATAATCTGCAATAATTATAATTATTATTAATCTGCTTTACCTGTTGATTGACATATATACATATACACATATGTACATACACACACACATACATATATGCACATATACACACACCTACATACTCACACATAGTCAAACACCTTCCCCATCCCTGTACCTCGAGAAAATAATTTCTCTGTATTTCCTCTTGAACTGGTTAATGTCTGGACATCGCTTTAGCTCCACATTCACACTGTTCCACAGTCTCACTCCACAGGCTGAGATACAAAAAGTTCTTCTGGTGGTCATGAAGTCAATGGTTTTCTGAATGTGTTTTTGGTTCTTATCCTGAGGTAAGGTCTGTTGTTAACGTTTTGTAACTTTATTTTATAGATGCTACCCTGTAAATAAAATTAAAATGCTGTCTCTTGTGTTATATTAATGATCAATAGCTGGTGAAGATAGGGTATTTTAGATTTATAGCGAGGGACATGTAGCTTACAGTAAGCCTTAGTGTTTTTATATGTTATCATGCAAGTAGCTAGCTGCATATTTAAGACCTTTTCACAGGACACCTGTTTTAACAAACCTTATCTGAAGCCATTTTAGCAGATGTACGTGCCTAAACTTAAGCAATTACTTGAGCTTCAGCCTGCTAATATGTCACTATGTTCCCCTATCTTAGTTTAGCATGTTAGCTGTTGTAATGTTTAAAGGTTTGTTCTAGGAAGTAAAATGTCAGGAAAACAAAAACACAATGCCACTTGTGAATGTCCAAATCTTCTACGTGTCATAAAATCGACAGTTGCTAACAAGGGACTAAATCAGACTACTAAACCTTAGCCCCCTATAGCTAAGCGGTTGTGAAGTGAAGTCATGTGACCGTGCTGTAGTTCCTTTATAGCCCAACATTAGCCGCCTTTAGCTTAGCGGTGGTGACGTGAAGTCATGTGACCGTGCTGTAGTTCCTTTATAGCGCAACATTAGCCGTCTTTAGCTTAGCGGTGGTGACGTGAAGTCATGTGACCGTGCTGTAGTTCCTTTATAGCGCAACATTAGCCGCCTTTAGCTTAGCGGTGGTGACGTGAAGTCATGTGACCGTGCTGTAGTTCCTTTATAGCGCAACATTAGCCGCCTTTAGCTTAGCGGTGGTGACGTGAAGTCATGTGACCGTGCTGTAGTTCCTTTATAGCGCAACATTAGCCGCCTTTAGCTTAGTGATGGCGAGGTGAAGCTGCAAATTCACATGGAAAAATACAGTTTTTTTGTTGTCAAGAAAGCCCTTGTGAGGTTAACTTTCGGGACTGCTTACAAAAATACATTATCACTGCACCACTTGATTACCTGGAAGATTACATTATTCTGATTCTGATCAAATGATATCACTACACCAGCAACGGCCTCCACCAGGAAGCTCCTGGCAGTTTTTCAACCACATCATCAACACACACAACCCAGTCTCACGGCATTTTGTGTTATTAGTCACGAAATTAATTTAATCTATTGATTCGTGTTCACCAACACGATTTTCACATTTTTTTCGTGTCACACAGAACGATTTTAAATGCAATGTATTTCTATTGGTAGTATGTTTCGTGCCTGCACCACGTCTTTTTGTCCGGTCGGGTCTTGGAAGACCGGAAGCTGTGTGGTTCATAAAAACATGTTCTTACTCAATATCTTGCCCTAAGCCTAACCCTATCCCTTTTATTTTAAATTGTATAATGTCTGAGTTTTTTTGCCGTCAGTGAGGAAAAGAAATGGCTCAGAGCCTCAGAATACTGACATCTGTATTTTATGTCATCTTTTTTTCCTTCTAATTTGTTATTATTTGGTGCAGGCACGAAACATACTACCAATATAAATACATTGCTTCTAAAATCGTTCTGTGTCAGAATACTTAAATCTGTATTTTTTTTAAATGTCTTTTTCCTTCTAATTTGTTATTATTTACATTGCTTTTAAAATCGTTCTGTGTGACACGAAAAAAATGGCGAAATCGTGTTGGTGAACACGAATCAATAGATTAATTTCGTGACTATAACACGAAATGCCGTGAGACTGTGTTGCCACACAACACTACACTCCTACTCAGAGTGAACACACCAAACATTAAGAAATTACTATTGTCTCCTTTCCATCTCCTCCTGCAGGATCTCCCTGGTTTTCCTCTCTGCTGCTGTCCATGATTTCATGCTCTTAGTAAATCTGTCACTTAGCGCCTGGACTTTTAAAGCAGCTAAGTGACAGCTGTGACACACTGCTGCCACCAGCGCTCACATTTACACTGCATAGAGCTCCCCATCATTTTGCATTACCTGTCTTTGTGTCTCAGCCAATTTAGCCCAAAGCGAGAATTTCTCCAGCTGCCAGTCTGCATGTCAGCGCTCGGCTAACGTGCCAACAGATGGTGCACTTCTGCAGAAACCCTGCTGAGGCTGCTGCTCTGAAAGCACTTTATTCATAATCACACAACACCTGGGGAGGAAACTGCACCGGGTAAAGCTCTAAAAATAAAATAAGAAAGCATTTTATAAATTCTGAATGTAATATGTCATTTTTTTTAACTTTTATAAAACCTCCTTTGCTCTCAATTGTAGATTTCTGCAAAATCAGACATATCTGTTCGGGAATAATTTGCTTAGGTATTAGACACCCATCGTTTTCTCCCTTCACTGTCTCTTTTCCCATGGCATAGTTCTAAGGCCTTGGGTATTGCTGCCATCTCTCTTAAGGAGAGGCAGCTTGGGCGCATTGTTGTTGCCAGCTTATGACCGAGCACAAGCTGCCATGAGGTCGTTTATTGTTCAGGGACATCTTCTTTTCTCTGGAACGTAGATTTCCTGGCGCACATTCTTTTCTATAGACGAAAGCTCTAGTTAGATTCAGGGTACATATTTGTTTAGTCTCGCTGATAAAGAATGTTGATTATTACACTCCGAACTAGTTAAAACGTTGAACTACAGAAGAGCTCTTCAGAATTGATTTGGCATCTCAACCGTGTGGTCTGATCGTGGCCCGTGACATGTCTTGTCAATTCTCCGGCCGACGCTCCAAATAAACCGTCAGTGTTTGCCATCAAAGCTCCAGCTCTCCTCGTGTCTCTCTGAGTCCTGTCTCCAATTGCTTCAGAAGTTTCCCCCACATCATCAACTGATGGGACAGGACTGCAAACACATCAAACACACTCCTACGCAACATTTTCTCAATTAAATACACTCCCAAAAAGAAGTATAAAACGACATTTATGTTGTGAAATTGTCGCACTGTGGCAGTTTTTTAACACCAATCACATGACTGATGTGTTTAACGTTGTGAAATGTTAAGAAGACAATTTGGGATCTACTTTTTTTCTCCACGGCACAAAGAGAACCCAGTATAATATGCACGCTTCAGTTAGATGAAGCCTTACAATCCTTACTGCCTGATGCTTGTTTAACATAATGTCTCCAGACTGTAGATAATACAATATCCTTTACAAAAGGCTTTTGATGCATGTACCACACAACACTTTTTGGTATTAAGGGGTCACCTACAACCGTGCAAAATGGTCACGTCAGACCATAACAGACACAAAAACAGCAGAACATTATTTCCCGCTAAAAACTCTCCCTACACGATACTGTACTAAATCTGGAGACACCATCAGCGTGCTAATATGTGCTAATATGTTAGCATCTAGGGCAGTCCCTGATTAAGGCATAAACCACAGAATAATACATTTGTCAGCCATTTTCTTAGTGCGTAGGCTGCTATTGAAAATGTCCTGAAGAATATGGATTGATATATCAATGTTTTGCCCCCCCTGACCTGGTGATTTTATCTCTTTGTGGTAGGTCTATGCCTAAAATGATTCAGATCCTCCAAATCTCCTCATATATTTAAACCATGAGTAAAACTACTTGTGTGGGAAAAAGACAGATAAACTATTGAACAGATAAACTATAGTTGATTACACTGTTTCAATAGACAATATCACTGCCGCCCAAAAGACAAAAAGTTTAATCTAATTTAGATTAAAAATGTGATCTGCTGTACACACTTCATTATATTACGCTGGACTTCCGTGACCCTGCTTCTATTTAATTAGGCTCATATGCAAGTCATCTGCATTAGTAATGTATGTTCAGCAGGAGTGACATTGATGCAGTGAAA